ATTCAAAACCTAGATCCAGAGAGAAACAAAACCTGAGAGAATCGGGTAAAATTTCACATAGCTTTCAGCGGATAATTCTGGGCCTCTGCTTAAAGATCGAACATTGATTGCTTCTGTTTTTTCCTATTTCTGTATTAATTTTAAATTCCTTTGTTTGGGTGCAGATGTCGTTAGCCCGAAAGTTCTTCGTAGGAAAGGCATGGCGGCCATGTATTCCTCGTTTTACAATTGGCGAGCCTTCCCGATTTTGCAACATGTTTGCTAATTTATTTTTTAATGTTCTTATTTATTTATTTATTTATTTGAATTTTGGGAGCAGGAGCTACAGAAATGGAGTCGTGTGGCACGATTTGCTGTAGGACAACTCATCTTCCAGGATGTATTCTTTCATGTAATTTTGGGAGTATGAACTACAGAATATGTAATGTCTCAACATCAACATGTGTAGCTTCTTTACCAAAGCAAAATGTATTTTTTTTTTCTCCTATGAAATAGTTTAATGCTAATAGCATTATTGTAAATTAAATTACCTATTGAACATATTAATGGTCCTAATCTCTAAATTACCCAGGTGAGTCTCAACCGTCTGGGTGTTGCTCCAAGTTTATGAGGAAGAGTGCCAGGACCAGGGACAATAACCTCCTTGGGAAATTTGAGTTGTCTAGAATCCCGTCGGCTCCCAGGGTGTCCCGCAGATCAACGTGACATTCTACATCGATGTCAATGGTATCCTGAAGGTAACGAAGGAGGACAAAACAACAGGCTTGAAAAATAAGATAACGATCGTGAACAATAAGGGAGGCTGGGCAAGGAGGATATTGAGAAGATGGTGAAGGATGCGGAGATGTATAAGGTAGAGGACGAGGAGGTGCAGAAGAAGGTGGAGGCGAAGAACGCACTCGAGAACTACACATACAACATGAGAAGACGGTGGAGTGGGTGGACCAAAGCCAGTTAGCGGAGGTGGACGACCTGGAGGAAAGACTGAAGGAGCTGGAGAGAATCTGGATCGGTCGATGGTGCAACCACCGGTCAGGACTACGTTGGCCTCAAAATCACGGTCGATGGTGGTTGCACTGACCGTGAGAATAATTTCGTGTATCAGATTGATGCATATGGAAGAATTTGAGGAGAATGGAATCCACTTTAGTAGGATCTTAGAATTGTGTTTGTTGCCTTTTTTCTGATGTATTATTGTAGTTGAAGATCAAGTTTTTACTTCATTACATGCCCATTGTTTATCTGAATACTGTAGTGGAAAGGCTATTTGTGTTGAAATATATGTTTGAACTCATTTTTTATGCAAGAACGATATGATATTTTCTTGAAGAAGTAAAATGATATATCTTTACTTTTAGTTCAAATTTTCCTTGCTCACTGTACAGGTAAAAGAGCCGGTGCGATGAATAAGTTGTGTTGCATGATAACAGGAGAATTCTCCCCATCATTTTCATGTCCAATTGCCCTGTGTGCAAAGTGAAAGCGATTGTCGTTTTCCATACAAAAGAAGCAACCCAGAAGAAATGTGTATTGTAACCCTTAAGCATAAAAATTAAAATAGTTGTATATGTTATCCATACAATCACAGTCATGGACATCATACTGTACATCAACTAAAACTCAACTATGAGGAAGAGCATTTATCCGATTCAAAATTTAGCGGCACTAGCATGATGATTCAATACAAACATGATCCCTCATTGATAATTGAAAGTTGCACATTAAGGTGTGTCAAAAGTAATACAATAATATTATTGAGCCATCTAATTTTACAAGGATGCTTCTTTAAGCAGTGAAGTTGCTGCACATTTTGGATATGCTCAATCAACTAATGAATATGTTCTACACCAACAACATGACCTTGTTCTCCATTTTACAGACAACTCGACGAGAAGAAGTAAGAAGAAAACGCGAACTTCAAGCCGCCGAATAAATGAAAATTCTATATGAAAGCTATTAAACTAATTAAAAGTCAATTAATAAGATAAAAGGAAAAGGCAGGCCGGGTGTAGAGTGCCGGCCAAGAAGGACAGCATGGTCGAGTGCGTCTAATAGATCATTCTCTGGGAACCTTCTCTTCCTATCATGGTCTATTATTATTACACGGTGTCTAAATCAACAGTAACATGTATTTCACTGAAAATGACAATGACAAACATGTAATTCTAATGATAATGATTAATTTGAATTGCACTAACATTTACCTAAAAATAAATAATCACACCAAATAACAAACCAATTAGCATGTAAACTTAAACATTAAATCAAATGAAAACTATTTCAGAATGCATTTCAGTTAGACAATGTGAACCAAAAGCAGCCCTAATCAAACTATTTAATAGAAAAATACAGTGCCAGGTTTTGTTCTTCCGTGAAGTATTTTCAATCTCTTAAATTGCGAGGTTTTTCACTCGTAAAGGTTTCTGAATGTTTGGGGTTGTAAATTATTTTTTATTTTATATTTACCTTGACACTTTTTTCATTTAATATGTTAAGTAATTGTTTTCCACGTAAGCAGTTGTCATAGAGGTTGTGAAAGTGGATCGTTGAGTAGCATTATTGTACCAAAATATACACTACATACTACATCCAATATGATAAACGCAATTAAATTTATTCTGTTTTTATTCGAACATGTTGAATAACATATCCATATTTAATTATTTATATATTATTTTAATCTATCTGAATAAATTTTAGTTTATAGTATTATTTATATGTGTGGCCCGCTGGGCCATGTAGTTCTGTGCATATAAACAAATACTGCATTTGATTCAAACCAAAATTGGTAGCTAAACATAAAACAAATTTTTCGGTGTGGCGGTGGTCTGATGTGGTTAGTCCATTAGGGGAGTTTCTGCATCTATTGTCTTTGGGATGTGGATTTTGTGGTTTTAATCGGTACTACGCGATGGGTGTTTGCTCGGAGTGTGGTGGAGCTTGGCTTTCCCGTCCGGTGGGTGAGGGCTTTAACTTTTTAGCTTGTGTTTGTTTTTAGGATTTAGTTGTTTTTGTACTCGTTTTTGTTTTGTTTTATTTGTTAGTGTGCGTTTGTGTTTTTCTCTTGTCGGGGAGCATGTATGTTTCCATTGGGGAACGTGTATTCTTCATTAATGGAGTTTTTAGTTTTTTGCGTGGTTTTGTGTTGTAGGATACCACTTGGCAGTAGGCCTCCCTTTTCTCGGCTAGTTAATCGATTGTAAGTACGTGTTTTTATTTATCAGTTGAAAAAAAAAAAATGATAAAAAATGTTATCCCCAAAGAGACTCTATAATTAAAAAAATTAGAGGATAAAATGCACATAACACATGTAAATTTGTTACACTTAAATTTTGATACAATTATTTTTCACTGCAAATAAATTATTAGTTGCACAAATTAAAATTTCAAAGCATGAAAATATGGTAACTAATCAACTTCATTAATGCAAGGGATATATATGGTAAGTGAATAAAGATACACAGTCTCTCCTGGATCTACAAGTAATAGGAATGTCATCATGGTAATCAACTTCATTAATGCAAGTATATACATTATATGGTAAGTAAATATATTAGATCCATAAATTATTTTACTATAAAATTTAGAACTTCATAATGCATATTATATTAAGTATAAACTATAGTAATAAATATGCATGAACTAAATAACAAATTAATAAAAAGGAATAAAGATGCTCGTAAATTTGACTTATTATTTCCTTAGAATGAAGGACATATAGCAAAGGTGCATGTCACCGAATTGTACCTTAACAACAACAATACGGGCATTAATTTATGAATCAAAGAACAAAACACAGGCAGTAGCAGAAGATCAGTTGAATTGAGGCCAAAATGAGTATGTGATATACTCTTCTTCTTTATCACCACACCGAACCGAACCCACAAACAAACCGTCGAGACTCCGTACCGACTCCTTGTTGTCCATGTCGAAACTTATGAGCTCTTGCAAATTATCGTCTTCCAACACCACATAACCAACATTCTCCCCCGAACCATGACCAAAATATCCTCCATTATTCACGTTATTCCCACATCCGGGTTGTTGTGCATGGGCTGAACGACCCTCCGATCGACCAGCCGGCCTACTTTGATCGCCCAAAGTCGAGAGCAAGTAAGCCAATCCCCGGCTTTCGTCCGGCCCACTATCCGATTCACCAAGTCCACCGCCCGGCCCACTCTTCCTTTTCTTCTTATTCTTCTCGTTCTTCTTCCTGAGAAGGCAAAGCACGTAATCCTTAAACTCCGGTTTCACTTGCCCCAACTCGTGATCAGGAACCATATACTCCTTCAGAATCCACTCACCGAAACGATCGGCACCCGAGCATTCTTTCCTCGGCACGTAACGGAAGGCCCGCTTGTAGCCCAGCAACTCGCCTCGCTCCTCCCCGTGGATCAACACCCGCTGGCCCTTGTTCGACCACGTGCCTTTCCCGATGTTGCGTGAATAGCGCTGATTACTACTACTACTACTACTGGCGTTGTTCTTGGCGACCCTTTTGAGGCGCGTGTAGAAATAGCGCTCTTGGTGTTCGTCTTCGGCGGAGAAGAACTCCCAGGGCTCCTTTTCACCGAAGAGGTCGCCGGCTGATATGACGAGGTGGTGGCCGGCGACGGGGTTTCCGGTGACGGTGCCGACGAGGTAGCGGCAGCACTCCTCGTCGGTTGGGTTGAAGCGCATTCCCATTGGGTAATCGTCGACTGGCGCCGCCATGGATTTTTTGGCCGGCGATCGATTATTTCGAATTAATTGCAGTTGTTAAACCCTAAGAAGACAGCCAAGTTGTGAGAGTTGAGTTGAGCCTTCACCAAAATCGATGTGTATATATATATATATATGTGTGTATGTGTGTGTATGTATTGTCCGATGTCATTGCGGTTTAGATTTTAGAAGGTTGGTCTTTTTTGGGTTCTTTTGGAAAGCGGATTCCAAATAGGAATGGGATGTGTATTAGTAGGCTATATGTATTGTCCGATGTGTATGTATTGTCCGATGTCATTACTTAATTGTATTAGGAAATAATTGATTGTATAAATTCGGTGATTGGGTAAAATTGTTTGGTAACTAATTCGGTACAAATAAATTCTTTTATAGGATGATACTACAATCACGTTACGGAATCATTCTGTTGGAATGAATTCGTAATCGTTAAATTATCATGTAATTATCGTGAATAGTTGATCTAATGGTTACAAATCCTGACCAGTCCATAGAATTTCCATCTTATATATATATATATATATATATATATATGTGTATATATATATATATATATATATATATTTTAAATGCAATTTTTCTAAGTGACAGACTCTATGTTTCGTAAGTTTAGTTAACGTAAGCTTGTGCTTTGTATTTACACATGTATGTTTGATTTTGACTGTTAGGCTAGCATGTGTTTAGTTGACAAATAAATATATATATTTTTTTTATTTTAAAAACTTTATAACTTTTTATATATAATCTATTTTTATATATAATATATCAAAATAATCATATTTTAACAATCTTCAATTTGACATCTATAAGATAAAAAAAATGATTTTATCTATCTTTATAATAAAACTAATTGTATTTATCAAATATTTTTAAAAAATCAAATATTCATAAAATATATTTTATAAGATTAATAAAAATTTGATTTGAATACACCATAAAATCATAATTTAAATGAATTTTTTCAATAGATTTTGGATGAAATTTGAAGATAAAGTACTGCATAAATAAATTTCAAAAATATTTTTTCTTGATTTAAATAGATTATATAATGTTATAATGTTATTTAAAATAAGAAATAAAAAGGATATTATAATGAAAAATAAAAAATAATTTATATTTCACAAAGTTAGAAAATAATGCATTCATGCGTAAATTAATATTCTAAATTTATTTAATAAATTTAAAATACATGAAAATTAATAAACGCGAGACACCGACTCTATAAATAAAAGATAAGATTACATTACAATATATATTTTTTTAATGTAAATAGTTGAATCAACCGCATTGGGCTTCATGATGACTAAACCTACATTGCTCTGATGCCTTCGATATTGTATTAGCAGCGGATTATTACGTTGGTAAATAGCAACATAATTTTTTCGCTGGAAAATAGTAACAAACTCTTTCAATATTGTATTAGAAAATGATTATTCAGTTGAGAAACGACGAATTTTTCCGTTGACAAATAACAACGAAATAGCAACGGGCATCATCAATATTGTATTAGCAACAGATTATTCTGTTGGTAAATAGCAACAAATTTTTTCTGTTGGTAAATAACAATGGAATAGTAACGGACATCTTTAATATTGTATTAGCAACGAATTATTCCGTTGGTAAATAGTAACAGATTTATTCCGCTGGTAAATAGAACGGAATAGGAACAAACTCTTTCAATATTGTATTAGCAACAGAATATTCTGTTGGTAAATAGCAACGGGTTTTATCCGTTGGCAAATAACAAAGGAATGGATAGTAACAAACTTTTTCAAAATTGTATTAGCAACGGATTATTCCGTTGGTAAATAGAAACAGAATTTATCCGTTGGCAAATAGCAACGGAATAGCAACAAATTTTCTAAAAATTGTGTTAGCAACAGATAATTCCGTTGGTAAATAGCAATGGAATTTTTCTGCTGGCAAATAGCAACGGAATAACAACAAACTCTTTAAAAATTGTATTAGCAACGAATTATTCCGTTGACAAATAGCAACGGAATAACAACTGACACTTTTAATATTGTATTAACAACAAAATTTCTATATTTATTTTTTTTATATAAACAAAATAATAATTTTACTTATTTTTGTTAATCATAATACTCAACTATTATTTTTTTAAAAAAAATTCATTGTCGAATAATGTCATTATTATTATATTATTTATAACTTTTACAAAAGTAAAATTCTTTATATATATAATGATTATAATTTAATTACATTAATTTTATTTAGTTATGTAATTATTTTAAAATATTTAAAAAAATTAAAAATAAATATTGTGTTGTCTTACCAATGGATCATTCCGCTGATAAATAGCAAAGAATTTATTTCGTTGGTAAATATCAAAGGATTTATTCTGTTAGTAAATAGCAACTGATTAGCAACGAACACTTTAAAAATTGTCTTAGAAACGAATTAGTCCGTTGGTAAATAGCAAGAAACACGTTCCATATCGTATTAGCAACGAGTTAGTCCGATTTATAATACTTATATGCACACATATAACATAATTTTTTTTTTTTTTTTTTTTCCATTTCATCGCACAAAGTAATTTTCTTTTTAACTATCAAATCTACAATAGGATATTATTTTTTCCTAAAAACTCTAATAATCGTCAAAATTTATATTTTTTCTTAATTTATTAGTGGAAAAAATTCAAAACTAGTCCCACAGGTATAGGGGGTGACATTTTTGGTCCCAACGGAATCCATAAAATAATAATAGTCCCGCAGTTTTTAAAAAATGATCAAAAATAGGACTTTTTTCAATTTTCCAGCCCGAAATGCCACGTCGCACACACGTGGCCACATTCATTTGACGTGGCTGAGTACAATGTCAAGGGAAAAAATCAAAACTAGTCTCATAAGTTTTGGGAGGTGACATTCTTTGTCCCAACGGAATCCATAAAATACTAAATAGTCCCACAACGTGTGTGCGACGTGGCTTTCCGGGCTGGAAAATTGAAAAAAGTCCTACTTTTAATCATTTTTTAAAAGTTGCGGGACTATTTATATTTTCTGAATTCCGTTGGGACTAAAAATGTCACCCCCTATACCTGTGAGACTAGTTTTGAAATTTTTAATTAAAATAAAATCAATCATTATTACATTATTTTCACAAAATTCATTATTCGCTCACATATTTTTGAATTTTCGATCAATTATATATACAATATTCTTAGTTTTATTGCACATTAATTATATAATGTTATACATTTAACGAACAAAAAGTTCCACATACATTTTCTAATTTTACAACCCTATCTAACTGCTTAAGTCTCCTAACTACAGTCGATTTGAAATATCCCTGAATGTTGTTACAATTATATACCTTTTTAAAAGAAGCTATATATATTAATGTTGATAGATTCTCAATTGATTCACTTTATTCCATAATTTATCCAAACTTCATCAGAATTTCGTCGATCATGTTTGATCAAATTTTTTTGGGGGTTATTTCATCATACAATTGTTTCCTTACAAAAAATTCTAATTTTTTATAATTTCCTTTGCTGTGAATTACCTTTTTTCATAATTCTATTTTTTTTTTTTT